CCCCGCGCTCCTCTACTCACCACATGCATAAAAGACGACAATTATGGCAGTTTATTTTTCCATGTTCTAGAGGAAAGATTCATTCCCATGCAAAACAGAAAGACTCCCTCTGTAGGGAAACAAAAGGACCCTGCGGCGCCTGAATTGCGGGGGATCGCGTTAGCGCAGCAGCGATTGTGGCTGCGTTGTGCCAAAGCCTGCGGGCGGGGTGGCGGAAGTGGTGAGGAAGTTGCAGTGCACGGGCGCTGGGGAGAGACCACTTCGAGAGGGCACTGCCATGCTCTCGCCATGACCCAGTTCTGGTCGGGGTGACCGGCAATCCTGCGATGTCCACGTGCGGTGGGTGGAAGACGTGAGGTGTGATATCGGGGCGGGACTTGGGCGCCGTACATACCAGTATATGTAACTAGTCAGGGGCTTGGCCCCCTGGCGTTGATACGGAGACTGAAGAAATTGTTGTGAATGGTTGCTAATGAGGTAAGTGAGATTGCCGTGGTTGCTACTGGATGTTTTCCCGTTGGTCTGTAGTCGTTAGGTTCTTCATTGGGAAGGGAAGGAAAATGTTGGGGAAAACTGGGATAACATTGGGTCGCTGTTGGGGTCTCAGGGTTTTCGCTGGGGGGATAAATAAACCATGGTAGTGTCGGTATGGTTTAATCACGAATTGCAGCTGTGAGATGGGGTGCATGAAGAGACCAAAATTGAGGCTGTGAAGTGGGGTGCATGAGGAGACTGTAATCAGGCATAATTCTGTGTCGAATGCTGGACAGACAATTGGCCGACAGGTTGTATTGGTGTAACGAGTTAGTGGGTGGTTCGGATAGAGTTGGAATGATAAGATGAACGCATCCAGGGAGTGTGTGCTGAAAATGGTACGTAGATGATAGGGCTTTTGTTGAGTGACTAGCCTGAGGTCGGCGATCTCCGAGATAGTGTCCGGAAACTAGTAGATTACAAGAATTTTTATTTTTTTTTGATTGAGTGGCCGAAGGCTGGGAATTACCGAAATCTGTTTAAATCATGAAATATGACTGTAAAGTGAGATGCATGAGGAGAATTTGATCGCACATGCTCCGGCGTAGAATGATGCATGTTTACTTGACTGATAAGTAAGATTGGGTGTGCTGAATTGGTATGTGATAGCCGAAGGTTGACATTTCTCGAGATGGTGTGTTGGGATTTGTATGTAGATGACAGGGCTTTAGCTGGTTGATAGGCGAAGGTTGACAGTTTTTTAGATCAGTGAGTTGACGCAAATTTTAGCAACGTGTTGAGGACGAACTTTCCTCCACTGTGTTGTTTTATTGGGCAATAACTTGCTGAGGATTGGGGTTGGTTGACCTCAACGATTCCCTGTTTACCGAACACAGTCATGTCTTCCGGAATAAATGAAGCTATGGGCCACTCACGGAATGACCTATGTGACATGGTTAGGCACTGCTTCCTATCCGGGGAAGAGGACGCCGACATGGCGGCACACTACATTACTACCACACGTGATGAGTCTACGAGCACTGTGGTCATTGATTTGGACACGTCAGCAGCGGACATTACAATAGATTATTTGCGAAGGCATGGTGTTCTGGTAGTGTTCCAAGGACCGGGAGCGGATGCCTCATTCGCCGCGAAAGAATATTGGTTGAGAACAATGGAAAATGCGTGGGACCCGGTGATGGTGGGTGATCACAGGGGGCGAGTACGACCGGAAGGGGCCAATATGATATCATATCTGGCGGTTAATCATGTACTGCGGGATTGGCTGGTGGAGACACTCAAAAAAGAGGAGCATGCGATGGTGGATGGGAAACCATGTGCGGTGCTGTATCGCCCATGGGCAACCCAGGTTGAGCAGGAAAAAGCTAAAGAAGAGCTGCAAGCTCAGAGATTTTGGATAAGAGTTGTTAGGGTCCCGTATGTGGTTATGCCATTCCTTAAAGCGGCGGTGATCAAAGAATTTGGAGAGGTGATTAAAGATTACCCTCCGAAGAGGAACAAGGCGGCGCCTAGATTAATGAATAGACGGTATGATCTCCATCCAAGATCTAAAGCGCGGGTCAAGAAGAATCTCAAGGTGCGTTCCCCCCACGGTCTGCACAACGTTGAAGTCGTCACTCAGGAAACCCCATGGTGTCGAAACTGTCGATGGTATGGACACGATACTGGTGACAAACGTTGTCCTAATAGGCAGGGCCCGGTGGAAGACTTGGCAACAGCTCGTCCCTCTTCGTCGGCGAAGTCTGGGTCTGGTCTTCCTCCTGTCCCCCCACTGAACTCACCCCAAGGTGGGATTTCACTGCCTGGACCCTCATCGACCCATCTTAAATCTGGGGTTCCCACCTCGACTGCCCATGCAATTGGAGGACATCCTCCTCCTACTGGGGGAGGTGGGGCTCCACTGCCTGGACCCTCAACGGCCCATTTWAAAAATGGGGTTCCCACCCCGGCTGCCCATGTAATTGGAGGACATCCTCCTTCTGCTGGGGGACTTTGCCGTGGGAGCAGCTTGGCTGCCCACGCAATTGGAGGACATCCTCCTCCCACTGGGGGACTGGGCCATGGGARCAGCTTGACACCGGTGCAGACTGTCCAAGGGCAGTTACAAAAGCCGGGATTGACAGAAGGGACACAATCTGGGAAAGACGATTATAACAACGCTGGGAAGCCACAGGCACCGATGGGAACCACAGAGGGGACTGGACAAGCGTTGATGGATGACGGACAAGGGACTGGACCCCCGACAGTTGCGACAGAGCTAAGAGATTGTCCCGCTACGTCCGGAGGAGGAGGACTGACGGTATTGGGTGAAGAGGATATGCCAACACAGAAAGTAGGCGAGCAGACGGCAAGTGCAGGGGGACACAGGGGCCAGAAATTGCATAAAACATATCCGGGTGAAGAAGAGTCAATGATTCCTCAGAAGGGATCCTCGCAAACCGTTCGACGGAAGATCTTGGCAGGCGGGCCGAAGCAAATGATGCACAAACCATATTCCAAACCTGGCCATGAAGATCATGCAGGAGCCAGCAAGAACAAGGTAGCTTGGGCAGACATTCGAGATGAAGAACAGGAAGTTGAAGATGGTATGTGTACAGAACAGCGTTCAGAATACCAACAATACCAGACTCAGGAGACCTCAGAGCACTTACATCACATGGTACAAGAACCTGAAATGGACCAACCTCGGCTGTCTGAAGAACAAGATCAGCAACAAGAAATTCGACAGACAAGAGCTCAGGTCTTTCCGGGTTCAATTCTGGACGCAATGGCAGGGGGGAAACCTTGTGTGGTTATTCCCCTGATTTTTCTGGCAATAGATGGGGAACTGAATATGATGACAGCCATATCTGATCAAGGGGAACTGGCCATACCCCATTGTGAGCTGCATGGGGACCCGATGTCGGGAATCATCTTCAGAGAGCTGGCCAAATGGCTCACTCCAGCGTATAAACTCAGGGCCTACCCTGAAATGGAATGGATAAGATTGGCTCCGACCAATGATCAAGGAAGGACTAACATCCTCTACTTCCCGATCATTGATGCGGTGGTCAACCCAGCTGCGAGGACAGTGGCTCCATTGAAAGGGTTGCGATGGATACCGCTGACATTGCTGAAGAACCCGATAGGCCAGACTGYGACGGAAACTAAAATCTACGACTGCTGGAATGCAGGGCTTCTTAAACAAGTGGATGCCTGCTCTCCATGGCATAAGAGTATCTTTTCCAATAATTTCCTTATGCTCAAGTGTCGCGATTGGAATGATTGAGAATGATGGACAAACTGCGCATTATCTCATGGAACATCCGTGGGCTGGGATCGAGGAGGGTAGCAGTTAAAAGATCGCTAATTAAAACACTGGCAAAGAATAAAGGAATCCAGATTATACTGCTGCAGGAGACAAAACTTAATGAAGAAGCTATATCGGAACAGATGGGTTGGTGGTCTGGGCATCAATATTGGGCGTCGTCCCAAGGTACAAAAGGAGGAGTGGCAGTGCTCTTTGCGAGAACAGCACCGTGTGAGATTACAGACTACCGGATGGATCACCTGGGCCGGTGGGTATGGGTAAGATTCACATTGTGCCAACAAGAGTGGGCGGTATTTAACATATACTGCCCGACTTCGATACAGGAAAGAATAGAATTGTTCAGATCATTGYCATGGAAGATCCCAGCAGTTCAAAATTTGGTCTTGGGTGGAGATTGGAATACTGTCTTCATACCGGGGGCAGATTCCCTTCGACCTGCCCCAKTGTCTTTGGATGCARTCTACCTGTCTGATTTTTGCGCAAATAACGGGTTCACCGATGTTTTTCGCCTCCTGCACCCTTTCGAAAAAGGATATACCTTTTTCGCTGCGGGTGCAAGAGACCAAGCTTATATACCTAGGAGTAGGATAGATCTGTTCATGGTGGCAGATGTGTTGCTTCATAGACTATCTAGATGCTTTGTAGTGTSGTTTATGGGATCAGATCACCTTCCCCTTTTTTTGGAAATCTTTTTGCATTCCACTATAAGGGTAAACACAGGAAGAGTGGTCTTACCAGAATGGGTGGTATATACTCAGGATTTTCGTCTTTTTTTGCGAGAATTTTGGACAGTATGGAGGTCAACCAGGCCGCTGTTCTCATCCATGTTGGAATGGTACCAAGGAGGACTGCGAACTGTCCTGGCAAGAGGATTGGCCGTGAAGAAGATGATGGTTGCCAACTCAAGAACAAGGCTTGACAGATTGAATGATGACATGGTAGACTTGATGAAGAGAGCGGCTCAACCGCACGCCAATGAAACCGAAATAATGGCTGCTATGGATTCCATCAGACAAAAATGGACATTCCAAACCCAGCCTGCCATTCGAACAGCGTCACATAGGAAGAAGATATCCTAGCTGGTGAAAGGGGATCGAATGACAGCAGCCTTTTTTGATAGTCATCGCCCTGGGAACAACAGACAACTTATGTTGGCAATGAGACATCCGTTCCAAGCACAAGAACCAGTGGCGACAAACACTGCATCAATAATCACTAATGTCTCGCTCTTCTACGAGAACCTGCTGTCCTCTCAAGCACAACATTCACAACAGGAGCTGCTACACCAATACACAGATGAGGTGTGGTCTAAGGTGGAACGAACGCTGACAGAGCAACAAACAACAGTTTTGGAAGCCTTAGAGCCATACGTAATTTGTTGACTCACTACCTATAGAAGGAACAAATCAATGATGATAATTTCCCCCCTAAGGTAGCGTGGGAAGTGATTACACAGACTAAAAGGAGTGGTGGACTCTCGGTGCTTGACCCGGAACGTTAGATAGCGGCCTTACTGGCCAGGTGGGTTCCTTGGGCGGTGTTGGCAGGCCCTTTCGTTGCATGGACACAGTTAGCATAATTTGAGATTCTTACATACAGAAACTGGCATGATGTCAGACACCTGTGGTTGTCAACCTTCTTTGCTACTTATTTGAGGAAAAGGATGCCCAATGGAATCTGGGCAGGAATAAGTAAAGCCTGGCTTCAAGTGCTCCCACAACTTCAAGTTCCACCATTGATAATGGACCGGATTCTCACACAACCCCTCTTTGAGAACCCGGCTATTTTGTCTCAGAATGGGGAACTGTTTCATCTCTTTGGACCCAGAGCATTTGGGGATGCCTGGATGTCACGAGGGACAGGAACACTTGCAGATATATGGGATGTCCAAAGTACGAATTGGAAACCTCTCTCAGAACTTGCCCCGGCTCTGATTGGCCTGTGGCACCAAAGACAACATCTATCCCTGCTTCAACAGGCGGTGCCGCAGGAATGGATGGACATACTACGAAGAGGGCTCCAATACGAGAAAGGCATGTGGTATAAGATTCACGATGAACAAAAGCCATTACTTGTTTGGAAGAAGGAGGAGTATTTACCAGTGGCTGACACTCCGTTCTTCTGTTGGGAGACCCATGGAGGAAGAACAGAGATGGGGGGCGAACTTACTCTTGCTCCACAACAGTTACCGATCCCCCCTCTCGCAAACCTGACCCCAGTCTGTGTGTTGGAGTACAGCGACAGCTATAGACCATATTGCCTGTCCCTCCCTGCATACCAATTGTCTGTGGACCCGAGAAACTGGGCATGGAAGAACCCGAAGCAGAGACATCAATTGATACCGTTGCACCAGTACTCGACTAAATTGGGGTACCAGCTGGCAACACCGGAGATCGACATTAACTGGAAGGTGGCCAACAGATGGATGAACACAAATTGGATACAAGACTCGCTGCTGCGCATAGTGCAAGCATTACCACATTTCTGGAAAATATTAATGGATTTAGCAGTTGTAAAGCATGCCAGCCTCCTGTGGTTGATAATGCACCAGGCAATTCCAGTGGCAGCCTGGTGCTCCAGACGAACTTCAAAAGCGGACCCAAGATGTGAAATATGCCCGGGGACGAGAGTGGAAGATTTGCAGCACTTTGCCCTTCTTTGTGACCTCTCCCAACCCTTTTGGGCTTGGTGGAGGGGTGGTTCAGTGCCGGTTCCGGGACCCCATACTCGGTGGACAGACCACTTTGTACTCATGGGGACAGTCGCTCGAAGATCTCAGCGGGAAGACCGACTGTGCTATGCTGAGGAGACAATGAGAGGAGCTATACTTTGGACCCTATGGACACTGCGAAACTCAGTGGTGAGAAGAGGGGAACACTTCACCCCACCGATGGTTAGAGCGGAGGTCAAGCTTGGAATAAAACAAGCGATTTTGGCAGACTGGGAATATAAAGTGCAAAAAAAAGGATACTCTGCGAAGTCCCTCAAAGTGTTTATAAGTAGATGGGGAGCATTCACGGAACTGCTGACAGTGACTCGGCCTCAAGGGAAGCTGCCAGAAGTTAGATTTTTGGGGCTGCAGGAGGGGACAATGAAGAAATAAGGAGAGACTACAGGATAATATTTGAGGACTGGACATTGGTAGACCCATCCATACCCATGCGTCCAATGGCAGAGTTTCCCGACCCATTTCCCCCTCCATTATCGGCTATGGTCCCGAGATCTTGGTTTGGGTATGATGAAAAGTGAAAACCTCAGGCTATGTCCTCGAAGAAGGAAGGATCTTCATGTTCTCTTTAGAGGATCAGAACTAGGTGGCAGTGCTAGATCTGGCGTCCAACAATGGATGAAGAGGTGCTGATTCTCTGAGTACCATTTCCGATTGTTCATAATTTTATGTTATTATTGTAAAAAGGGACGTTGGACCCGCTTTCCAGCAGGTGCTGCTCCCCACCAATAGATGGAGACTCCCCAGGGGTGCTAGAGGTGTCTGCTCTTACCAGCACCCCTAGCATTCACTTGCGATTAAAAAAAAAAAAAAAAAAAAAAAAAAAAAAAAAAAAAAAAAAAAAAAAAAAAAAAAAAAAAAAAAAAAAAAAAGGCAACAAGGCCTTAGATCTAGAGGCAAAGTTGGTAGGGGCTCAACAGATACTTGTAGACTGAAGGAAGAAGGTCCCACAAAAGTGGAAGAAGAAGGGTAATCGATTGATGATGGTTGATCCCGATGGGATTCAAACCGAGATCGATGACCTCTGAGATCTTGTGGAAGAAACAGAGTTAGACAGCGAAGGTAATGCAGAGGGTGGCAACCTCGCTGCAATTACAAAAGGAAAGGTTGTTGGTCACGGGAAGTGTGGCCAGCAGAAGAGTCAAGGGTAGGTCCATAACTCAAACGAGACTCCGGCTCGGGTGAGGGCTGGTCTGGATCAAGATGTGTGGAGGGACCGCTATTCGCAAGGAGTTTACATCAACTGCGGCGAGTATGGCCATTAACAGTTTAGATGCAAGAACGCAAAGGTCTAAAGGTGGTTTTGGAGGGACTTTCACCCCAGGAGGGGTTTCTACGAGCTCCACATCGGGAAACACATCTGGCCAGTAGAAGTTGTAGCTGCTTCTACTGATGCTGAAGTGGTTGACGTACCCTCACCACTTCAAGAATTAGCCGAAGCTATTGACGCACTGGTCACCCCGTAGACACATCTAGACAAACGACATTGTTCGCTGGATGTGTTTGAAGCCTTAGAAGACTTAGAAACTGAGTGGTCGGCAAGGGACCCTCGTGAGTCTTGGGTGGCTTTGTCAAGAGGTCCTAGAGGGGAGCATTTCGTTGTGGAAGTTAGTGTAGGTGGCCGCAAGTGTGATGCCTTCGTAGACATTGGCTCCACGCGGAACTTCATAAGTCGTGACTGCGTTGAAAGATTGCGCCTTGGGGACCAGGTGCAGAGCTTGAGTAGGCTTGTGGCATCTACTCTAGCCAACAAAGAGCGCATAATGGTAAAGGACTACGTTAAGGACATGGTCTACACTTTTTCCTATGGAGGTGGGAAACTCCATCAAATTTCATTCCCAGTTAAGGACGGCTTGCCATTTGACATGTAATTACCTCGAGGTTTCCAAGCCCCGGTCTGGCTGGGAAAGTAAAGTGCTCAAGCATATGTTGCCTAATGGGAGGACCTTTATACTAGCCAAGTATAAGGCAGCAGGTTAGTTGACTCCTACGGGTGCATGTGTGCAACTGCGTTGTATAATTTTTATAAACAAAAACAAGAGGAGGGTGTGTTCCTAGTCTTTGTCTCTGAGAAAGGGGAGGTCGTTAAATCACCCTCAGAGATAGAAGTTGTCGTTGCTAAGAACTCTCATATGTTTGAGGAGCCTTCAGGACTAGTAGGCATGGAGGTTGTCCATGCCATAGAAGTAATCTCATGTAGTAAACACCGAAGGGAGGATCTATAGGATGGCTACGGCCGAGTTGGGCGAGTTTCGTCTGCAATTGAAAAAACTCACAGAGAAGGGTTGAATTCGGCCTAGCATTTCGTTCCGAAGAAGGGGGGATCATTAACGATGTGCATTGATTGTAGAGGCCTCAATGTCATCACTGTTAAGAATGCAGAGTCTCTA